CTTTCCACCCCAAAAACCCCCTCTCGCAGACTGAACGTGTCTCTTGGTTGCCACTGGGAGACGGTCACAGTTCTGCAGCCACCGGTCCTGCCACTCCGACAGTCCTTCCTGGCTCTGTCCTGCAGGCCGCCAGCTGCTGTGCAGTCCCTCACATGAGCAACTGGACGGCAGTCTAGACAGTACGTGATCCTCGCTGCGTCTCAGCCCCGGGGCGAGCACGGTGATGTCATCACACCCCGTGCTGAGGGCGTTCCCGGCCCCAGGCAGCTAGCGAGCAGTCACGGGGCAGGAAAAGCATTTCTGCGTTCCCTGGCAGGTCCCCCCCGTCCGCCACAGCAGTGACCTTGGTGACAGAGATGTCAAATGGAGCAAGTCCAGATAAACCCCGTCGAGGCCCTGGGAAGGGGAAGGGAAAGCACCTGGGCTTGCTTCTCATCACAGCCAGCTCTGCCGGGCAGGCACTCTCCTCTCGTGGGGACCGTTCTGTAATCTGATTCATTCTGAGCCACAGCCTAAATGGAGTTGCGCAAGATTCTCCCCTCTTAAAAAACAAAAACAACCTTTCCATTTTCCCTGCCCTTTCCAGCAGTGGCTCCTCTTGCTTCCTGCTGCTGCTTTTTTTTTTTTTCTTTCAATTTTTATTTATTTCTTCCATAAGAGAGAGAGAGCCCCTGATAAGGTCTTGATGTGCAGCCAGCCAGCCCTGGACCACGGGCTCGTGAATGCCTGGCACAGTCAGAGAGGAACCCTCCTGTGTGGAGTGACAGTCCGCCTTGCAGACTGTCACCTTTTGCCACCATGCCACCAAATGCCCTCCTCAGCTCAGCTCCTTGGAAGGGTTGGCCATTCTGAGTCTCTGCTTCCTCCTGTTCCTCCTTGGGTTACTGACATCAGCCTCTGGCTCCACCCCTCCTCTGACACTGCTCCCACTGGGGTTTCCAGAGACCCCTGAAATGCTAAGTCCCAAGGGCCCAATTCAGTCAACACCCTCCCTGAGCTCTCAGAGGCACTGTCTGACCACTTCTTCCTGGCCCTCGGTTTCTGTCACACCCCTCTCCTGGATGTCCTCCAACCTCTGGGTGTTTCTTCTTGGTTTCCTTTACTGACTCCTCTATCCTCTTACCGTACATTGACCTTGGCCCCAGGGCCCTGTCTTTGACCTGTGCTCTTCTCTTAGGGCAGTATCTGGGGGAATTGTATCTGTCCTACATACTTTTTTTTTTTTTTGGAGAGCTGTTTTTTTTTTTTCATTGTTGTTATAGGGCACATGCGCTTACCAAAAAGAGAGAGACAGAGAGACAGAAAGCAAGAAATCACCCCCCAGGGGGAATGGCCATGCTGCAATCCCTTCTCCTCCATTCTCCTCTTGGGATCTTGGGCATGCATGCACATGCACTCAGCGTGAGTTTAAGCTACCGGGTCCAGGACCAGAACCATGGTCGACTACATGGGAGTCCCGCGACATAGTCATTACACCAACTGCTGACTCCATCTTTTTTTTTTAAGAATTATTTTACTGGGGCTGGCCAGCCCATAGAGGTTCATGGAACAGGGGTCCAGCAGGTGGCATGGTGGTTAAGGGCACTGGATTCCCACATGGATGACCACATTGAGTCCCGGACCTGGCGACTTGCTTTCTGACTTTCCCTCTCTCTCTCTCTCTTACACTCTATCCCTTTCTGGACAAATGAAAATAAATAATTCTTTTTAAATTTAACTTTATTTATTTATTTTCATTTGTCCAGAAAGGGATAGAGTGTAAGAGAGAGAGAGAGAGGGAAAGTCAGAAAGCAAGTCGCCAGGTCCGGGACTCAATGTGGTCATCCATGTGGGAATCCAGCGCCCTTAACCACCATGCCACCTGCCGGTCCCCTGCCTCATGCACCTCTGTGGACTGGCCAGAAACTCTCCTGTCAGCTCCTGACCCATTTATCCAAATGCCCATCCCACAACTCGACATTCCACTCGGATGTTCCACCAGTATCTCAAATCCAGCAAGTTCCAAGCCAAACCAGTGATCTTCCTTCAGTCTCTCCCCTGCCTGTGTGCCACCTCCTTGAGAAGTGTCCACCTACTGTAGAAAGTTTAGAAACAGATGAGAAATGCAGAAAGAGAAGAAAAAAATGTCCGTGGTCCCAGCACACGTAGGCAAGTCCTTGTGAATGTGGGAGTACTGCCTTCCAGGCTGGTTTCTGTGCTGTGAATATTCCGAGTCCCTCGCTGGCCACAGCCGTAAAGCCACGAATGCCCTGAGATGCTGAAGTCAGCTCAGGAGGTCCCTGGTTCGCATATTGGCACGCTGTGCCAGTGATCTGGGCTGGCCAGGGATGGGGGTAGATTGCAGCATGAGGACCCTGTTGATGGTACCTCTCTCCCTCTCTGTCTTTCTCTCTCTGTCTCTCTCTCTCATGGAAGAAAGAAATAAACTTAAAACACGTGTATTCCAACTTTTCTACCGTGCAAGCTGCCAGGCCCTGAGCCAGTGCCTTTAACCCTCATGGCCCCCTGAGAGGTGGGCATTTGATCCCCCATAGTGATGAGAGGGAGGGCAGCCTGGCAGATGGTCATCAGAGGTCATTCAATGCCAGAAGTGCCTCCAAAGCAGGCCCAGGTGTGGGGCTCCCGTCGTTTCCTGCACGGAGCTCAGAGCCCCTTCCCCGATCCTGCCAGGTTCTGAGTGTCAGGGCCTTCTGGGATGGGCCGTGTGAGTCCTGCCCTCCTTGCCTCTGACCTGAGCCCTGCACTCTCTTCCTCCAGGTTCTTCCCATCATCGTTTTCTTTAGCTGTGTCATGTCAGTTCTCTACTATGCGGGCCTCATGCAGTGGGTGATCCTGAAGGTGAGTTCCATGACCGTGGCCTGGGCTCCCAGAGTCACAGCTCCCAGGCTCACACTCCCTGATTGCTTTGCTCCCAGGGCCCAAACCCTCCCTAAATCCTCTGCTCACAAAACCCAGCCCTTCCCAGAATCCTCTGCTCGAGTTGTCACCCTCCCAGAATCCCCTGATTCCAAGGTGCATGCCACTCCAGAATCCTTTGCTCCTGATCCTGGGGGGGAGTCCATCCTGTCCCAGAATTCTTTGCTTCTGAGGTCCTTGACTTCCCAGGATTCCCTGCCCCTAGGGTCTATATGCCCTCCCAGAGCCCCTTGCACCTGAGGTCCTTACCCTCCCAGAATTCTCTGCTCCTAGGGCCACACTACCCCAGAATCCTTTGCTCCTAAGGTCCTTACCTTCTAAGAATCTATTAGGGTGCACAGCCTCCCAGAATCTCTGGATCCCAGGGTCCACGCTCTCCTAGAATCCTTTGCTTCTGCCTTGACTTTCCAGAATTCCCTGGTCCTAGGGTCCATGTCCTCCCAGAATCCCTTGTACCTGAAGTCCTTACTCTCCCAGAATTCTCTGCTTCTAGGGCCCCATCCTTCCAGAGTCGACCGTTAACCAGACATTCTCTCATAGGGTCTCTTGTCACCGTACTAAAGAGAAATGACACCAAAGTCCAATGTGATGTTAGCAGGAGGGAAGGTTCAAGTCTTGGGAACCAGCAGTTAGTGTAATGGCTATGTTGCTGGACTCCTACGTAGTCAACCGCGGTTCGTGTCCCGGACCCGGTGGCTTAAACTCATGCCGGGCGCATGTGCGTGCGTTCCCAAGATCCTGAGAGGAGAATGGAGGAGAAGGGATTGCGGCGTGACCATCCCCCCTGGGGGGTGATTTCTCGCTTTCTGTCTCTATGTCTCTCTCTGTCTGTCTGACGAGCGCATGCACCCTATAGCGAAAACCTCTCCAAAAAAAAAAAAAGTCTTGAGG